TATATAAAGCAGCCCGCAGCGCCGCTACCTGCATATAAACCGTGTCGCGGACACCGCCATGTTGAAATGATGCTATGCATTACGGGGCTCCCAGGGGCCGATAAGAGTTGGTCTCTCTCCGAGAATAATTATGAATTTAACAACGATTACTGCCTGATGACATTTTCCCACAACTGCAAAGCTCACTGGAAGGACACAAACCAAGGACAATATTTTCCTGATATACGGATTGCTCAAGTAAGGGTAAAAAAGTATCTGATTAGAAGGCTACTTGAGTACTGAGTATCATCTGATCTAATATTTTTAAATGATGACATCAAACAGACATAAAATAAGAAGTTATGGGCAAATATTGGTATTTTAAAGACTAAAGGGAAAAAATGTAAAAAAGTAAACAACATAATTACAAAATAACACATTTTAGGCAAAATTTGGACAAAATTTGAGGACAATATTTTCCTGATATACAGGGTTTATTTAATTGTGTGAAAATGTAGCACGTTTAAAAAAAATACCGCGATAGTACCGAAAACCGTGGTAATTTTGGACACAATAACCGTGAGGTTAAATTTTCACACCGTGACAACCCTAATGCAGACCATTTTAGATTAGGTTACATTTCCTTTATTCCCAGATTATGTAGTTTGTAGCACTCATTATAATGTAGAAAATTTCTGGCCAATCCACGTGATCGGTATCGGTGATCGGCATCGGTGATCAGCATTCTTTTATATCGGTATCGGTGATCGGCAGCAAAAAACCTGATCGGTGCATCCCTATAGTATACCCTTTAAAAATGTAACAATTAAACCTTTATTTAACACTGGAATGTCCAGAACTTCTAAATAAAACATAAAAATAAAATAAAAAGGACTCTCACTCTCTGTCTACAATAAAGTAGACCCCCGCTGTATGGAGGCTGGAAAAATGATTGAGTTCATTTTCATCTATCGTACGATTTATTGATCATCATCCCAGCCCTACCTACCATTAGAATTAGATTTATTCATGTTACAATGAGAAACTTTCTCGTTATTACAAGATACTGCTCCTTTATTTTTTTTCCCTGCACTGACAGCAATAGGCTTCCGTACTCACCTGCTTTTAATGCCTCTTTTTAACTGTGTGCCTTGCCAGATGAGTCAACACCCTTCACAGAAGGATTTCACAGCACTATCTTCTGTTCTTTTTCTTTCGTTGCTTAAAAGGTTCAGAGGTTAATTCATCGAGTCTCTGGGTGGTAGGCGAAAGCATTGGCAGACAATTTGTCCTGCTCTGCAGGGCTGAGAAACCTCATCGGACACATGAAACTTAACACAGGCACAGACGGGAGGCATTTTGAATGAAAACCAGCACACAATGATCAGAGAAGGGGAAGAAATAGTTTTTCTTTATTCTGTTATTCTATTGTCTTGCATATGACCCAGGCCTAGGGCTGGGGGTAAACGATTATTTTTAAAACGATTATTCTGACGATTATTTTATCGAATAGTTGACTATTCTAATGACTATTTAGACAATTAATCTAATGATTATTTTTCTATTGCACAGTTAATAAAAACTAAAAAATCTCTAATTAATTCCTCAAAAAATTGATAAATTGTTACTGTAAGAGAATAAACACTACAGGCCTTCCATTTTGTAAAACACTGCTTTTATTGTGTTGCGGTTGGTTATGTTCTGGTGACGTGTAGAACTTGGGAGTGCAGGCTGCTGCCTGAGAGGTGGTTGGAGACGGAGTGTCTCCATGCTGCTTTGTTTTGGTCACTTATGTGCGTGAGGCAAGTGGTGTTACGACCCTTCCTGGGGAGTTTGGCTTGTGTGCAAAAAGGAAGGGACAATAACACGGGATTTAAAAGTTAAAATGATGATCGGGTTTATTTACAACTACAAAAAAACATAAATCTTTCCATCCACAGGTTGGGAATAATAAAACTAATTCTGCCTGTGGGGAATTAAAACAAAAGTACAAATAAGTAGGGATGTCCCACTGAGCAAAGACTACAGGGTTCTGGACCAAAATGAGGATCTCCAAAGGTTCAAACTCTAAACTGGGTGGTTAAACCAAACTCAAGGTGATATTTTAAACTAAACCGAAAACCCACAACACTCTAAATGTAATAAAAGGGAGATCTACACCACAGAAACGATGAACTCTAAACCAAAACGTAACAGCTTATCCAAACGCAAGAAGCTGTTAGCGAAAACGCTAACAGTAGCTTTACCAACGTTAAGTTCAAGTTACCAAGTTTAAATAAACCAAAAATACCCATCAAACAGACCAGCACGGAGGAGAGACTGCTACCACAAAAACAGCTCTCCTAATGTCTGAAAGAAGCTCTTTTATGAAGGGAGAAACGCTCCCGGTGATTTTCTACATCTGCGATAGAGACGGAGCAGCGCATTTGACCCCGGAAGTTGTTGTCCGTTGCCGGGAGACGAAGGCGGGCATCTAGTAGTGGACGGATATTGTTCCGCGTCTTCAGTATTTGGTGGAGATGTTAGTGAAGGCGAAGAAGAGGGCGAACTAGAGGAAAGACAGGCAGATTCCACCTCTATTTACAAACTCCTGGGGGTGCAACAAGTGGGCGCGGTGCGTCGACTACCGGATCTGACATCGACAAATTTTTTTTAATCGAGCCGTCAACGTCATCGAGGCTTCGCTACAGCCCTACACAGGCCCATGTCTCAGTACTTCTGTCTTTCTATCTTGGACCCTTGTTTGCTCTTTCCATCTCTCACTCAGAGACAAGAGAGGTTAGAGAGCACAGACAGGAAAATCAATCAAGATTGGATTGATAGTGTAAACTGACAGGCTGAAGAGGCAGCAAACTGATACATGAGCAGGGTGGGAGTGAGCTTGTCTGCAGAAAAAGGGTGTGACCACACATTCAGGAAACCGACAGGCAGAAAAACAGAATAACAATCAGTCATTCTGACCAACTTAATCATCTTCCTAATCAGCACCTCCAGCATTATCCTTCTTTTACAGCTAAGTTTTATTTATGCCGTTAAAAAAACATTTTAATGGACATTTCCTTTTGACAGATAAGTATTAGTGAAATAGAGATTGATCAGATAATACACTAAGTTAATAGATGGGAATCTGCTATTTTCATGTCCTTCTATTAAAAATGTGTTTCAATTACAGAGCTATAGATGTTTGCCTTGATTTACATTTTTCAACTTGACCAGTTATGACAACATATCAAAATTAGTACCAGTTTACAAGAAGGCTCCCATTATTAATACCTGATTTAGTTTGTGTAACTAATTCATCTGCAATACTTTATAAATCATCATTACATGTTTATTATACATTTCTTGTGGAAAAGATTTACCAAAAAAGCAGCGAAACTGAAAAAGTCAAGTCCTTTGGCCTTGATACAACCATGTGTCAGAGAACAAACACAAAAGCGCCCGTCAACATTTCATAACAAAACCTTTGACCATTCATGATGTCTTGATTGATCAAGGTACATGTAAAAAATAAAGACCCAGCTTTCCTTTAAGGAATGCATATCTCCCACCGCTTTTCCTTCCATTTTACATTTCAACTTATGTGAAGAAATGTTAAGAATTGGTTTGGTAAGACCTTGAAAATAACATCATAAGTGAGTTCAGGTGATACTGTATTACAGAGATCTAGTATAATCTGTTAGAGCTCATCAGTGAATGACTCTCAGCTAATATCACATGAACTGTAGCTAAACTGAGTTAAAACACTTTATATTTACCAACTTTAGCTAGCCCTGGTGGCCATCTTGAATTGGGCTGACTGCAAAAGTGAATTGCTTTCTGAGAGTCTTATTGAAATTTGTTCAGTGGTTGGAAAGAACCTTAGAGGGTAGAGGCAACTTGCTTTAAAGGTGCAATATGTAAGAATTTAGTAAGAATGCCATCTTGCGGTCAAACTTGGTTACTGCAACTCATTTTCCTAATAAAAAAGGTTACTTTCTCACTGTCGTTCTGTGAGTTGTATGGCTGTTGCCAGTTACAGATCAGTCTCAGAAGATTCTAGATAACAAGCAAAGATGAGTCATACACAGCAAGTTGACAAGTAGATAAATACATCATCATATCTGATGTAAGCACGCTTGGGTATTTTACAGTAGGAAGCATGTAATATACTTATTAGTATTAGCTGTTAGCTTGCTGTTACAGTTCTGAATGCCCCATTAAAGGAAGTAAAACAGCATGATTGACTCATTATTCACTTCACACATACATTTAACTGTAATATGGATTCACAGGTAATCGAAAAAGTAGCTTGAGATATTTTCAGAGCTGACTATTTGCTTCTAATTCACTGTTAGCATTGTTAGTTCTACTTTAGCCTCTAGCCTGCTTCACCCGATATTAGGAGTGAAACAAAAAGATGCGGGGGGTTTCTTAGGGAAATAACTTCTGGGTCATTTCTGTTTACTGTCTTTGGTTTTTTAAATAATCTTGGAGCCTTTAGCCTGTTTGTGTCGAATTGCAAATGCCGGAGCTGTTGCGTTAGCTCGGGGCAGACTCAACAACTTCATGGGTTTACTGAGTGTAAACAGTAGCTGCGTTCCTAATTCCATCTTTCAGTTCTTTTTATTACGTTCTTACGTTCCTCTTTAGCTTTTTTCAAGAGAAAAACTGACAAGCCCCCACCCAACTGAGAATGAAATCCGTTTCAATGTAACTTTTCTTCCCACATGATTGAGACGTTAAACTGTTCTGTGATTGTTACATTTTTGAATTTGTGCATATTGTTCCTTACATAACACAATGAGACTACTATAATGTCTGGCTACTGGGGCACTCAACAAAAAAATCTGATGAGTCTCAAGATTTTACCCAATCTATAGTTAAAAAACATGTGAAAATGTATTATATATTCTTTACAGCTTCGCCCTTTAGGTCAAACTATTTGAAGTAGTCTAAATTGAGTGGCATCTTTGCAGCTGACCACAGCCCTTGTAAAGAAATCACATTACTGCTGTCTCCTACTGTAATTACTGACTGACCTTCATGTTCTTTCTCTGAAGTGCCGGTTTTCTTCATCTTTTTGGGAGTTTTCATGAAGAGAGGAAAGATGGTCCTCAAACCCAAGATGTCCACAAACTTATGGCAGTTATCTGCTCCCTCTGGTCCAATCATCGCATGGTCCAGGACTTTCAGAGCACTGGTGCGAGACATTTTCTTTTCTCTGCGGGGAAGACAAAAGTAACAATTACAATACGGTATTCTGAGAACAAGAAATTATAAATAGCTGCAGTTAGGGCTGCACGATATTAGGAAAACCTGCGATAAGTGATATCAGTGATTAATATTGCAATGACGATATTATTTGCGATAAATATAAACTTAATTCAGGAATTAAAATACCGTAAATCCTCTAATACAGGCCTGTATTCAATTAACGGCCGGGTCCCCAATTTTGGCCGGTGTCGGAGTTGGCGGAGGTGAATAATGGACGGTCTTTTATTGTGGCCGGGTGGAATGTGGTAACAAGCAAGTACAGGGGGCAGTTGTGTCATCGTCTCACTTTTGATTTACTAGTGATAGACCGCAAGGGTAACTTTAACCGTGCAGAGACGAAGAGGAGGCGAAAATTTTATATCAAGCTCAAAGACAACGTGCTGATTATGCTGCAGAACACTCTGGGGAACAGTAGCAGGGGTTGTATGAACTAGTCGACTTCACTATAGTGACGTTTTATGCCTGTCATCGACTAGTCGCTGTCACATGATAATGACCGGCAAGATGCAGTCCTCGGAAAAGACAGCAGCCTGCTGTCAGCAGGTGACAAGCTCCTGCGCTCGGGGGGGGGGCAACGCGCTTTGCCAGAGTGTCGGTACTGACACGCGATCGTTCATGTCGGTTCATTTCCTTTAATATTTTCTGTCTTTTATTTGCGCCTGATGTGTTTCGCTGCTGTGGAGCGGGGCACATCACCTTGTCCTCTGACGCACCGATCACTGATGCGGCCGCCAAGCAGGGAGCACTCCGCTGTTTTTGCGGTCGGTAGATCTGCGTCCTGAGCACGGCCACAGTAACATTATCAAATCAGGTGTCGCCACCTCAAAAACTAATTTAACATGCGATCGTTCATGTTGGTTCATTTCCTTTAATGTTTTCTGTCTTTTATTTGTGCCTGATGCGTTTCGCTGTGGAGCGGGGCGCATCACCTTGTCATCTGGTGACGCACCGATCACTGATGCGGCCACCAAGCAGCGGCACTCCGCTGTTTTTGCGGTCGGTAGATCTTTTAGAACTGCAGTTCAAAGGTAACTCATAAGGTGAATATAAATGAACCCAGGTAGCAGTTTCTCTATAGGATTGAGAGGAGATGCAGGAAGATAATAAACAGGCAGGACAGACAAATAGTCAAATAAAAACAAGTTAGTTTTTGTACCTGGTGGTTGCAACAAACAGACACCATTGAAGGTAATCAGAAGTGAGGAACAGAAAATGAAATAATTATTTAAATGTTTAGAGCATCAGGAACACTGAGAGGCTGCAGTCGCATCAGTGAGTTTGCGGCCGCTGCACAGGGGGAGGGGGGAGAGGGCTGAAGCAGAAACTACCGTTGTTAAAAGAAATGTGTTTAACTTTGAAAATGTGGGCGCAATTTTAATAGTCAAAAACTCCAGCGAACCATTAGTTCATTTTACTCAAATAGAAATAGAGGCCTGCCTCTAATTCTGGCCCTCCTTCCAATAAAGGCCTGGAGCTTGATGAGCTTGAGTCAAATACAGGCCTGGGCCAGTATTAGAGGATTTACGGTAATCAAAAGCAAAAACAAATTTTAAGTGACAAAAAAATCATAAAAATGAGAAAAGCAAAAGAGTGCAGCGTCGCTTAAAAACAAGAATTGTATTACAAAGAGGAATATTTCTTTCTCTTCTGGCACTCACAGAGCACATTCGCTTCTGCTTTGCTCCCTTATCTTTTCCCAAGGCTCTTTTTGTCCCGTCTACCTACAGAGCGCTTCTCTGCATTTACTCTGGAAATCACTATTTTTCAGAAATGGATTTAATTAATTGGTCATTCAATGCGATTGATAAGATTTTTTCTACAATGAGAACGGAGGAGGGGGCTCGCGCTTGCCCTCACGGGACACACGCAGCGGGATATATGCTTGATTCCTGGAAGAAGTGGAATGTCATCTGTCTCTCTCAGCTGTCCATTGAGGACGTAGAAGATGTGTGGATATTTGGCCTGATGATCACTTGATTTCTTCTGATTGGAGTGGGAGGATATCTGGTTTTCCGAAAAATTGGGATGACGGGAGCGATTGGAGGGCGACCCGCAACCATGGACGGCACCGTCCGGGCGGGGACCTCACAGACTGGGACGTTACTCGAGGTGAATCGCAAGCTGGACAATGTCTTAGCTGCGTAACCGGTGTTAATGCGCAAAATGGATGTCATCTCGGAGAGGGTCACCGGATGGTGTGGAGATGTTTAATCACCTAATTGGCTTCACTGGAGGACTTGAATGATCAATACAGACTTTAAGGCAGAAAGGAAAATTATCTCTGCCTGACCCAAACAAAGTCCTGTTATCCAATCTGACGCCATAAGCAGCCTTGGAGTTGGGTGCAAAAACCCCACGATGGAAGGAATGCAGACAAATGCTGTGAAAACCCTACCTACCCCCCTGTCTTCAGATTGTGGTCTCCGCATCGAGGTCATCAAGATGGAGGCACTCACTGTGCTCTGTGCTTTCCCATGACCTCCCACCCACCTGTGGATTCAGTTGGACGAGCGCCACACAGGCTGCTCCCGCTGAGGAAACCAGGGTCCCAGCCCCCCCTCCACACATACACACACACCTACCGGGTCTCATGTTGTGAACTGTGACGTTCATGCTTATATGTGAGGTGTTTTTTGCACAGTAGAGCTACACCCTGCCGGTGTAACTCTGTTAATGCCTTTTTCTCCCTCCCCGAACTCTCCTCATGTAATCCCCTCTTCATCTATTGAAATGAGCGCTGTTATGGCTGCTCTCGTGGTCTGCCTGTATCTGTCCTGTCTATGTGTGTGTGTAATCTTGTTCAGGCTGTTCTGTTGAGTCAAGTTCCTATGCTCTGGTTCGCTGGAGCGCTGGCAATAAAATTATCTCCGATTCTCTGATTTACAAAGGAGGTTATCAATATCTATATACAAAAGGGGATAACAAAAAACGTCAACCCAGAAGGGGATGGGGATAAACAACCGAGAGTAAGAGGGGCTTTCCTGATAAGCAGGAAAGCCCTGGGGAGATCCTAAATCGCTGTCAAAAAAACGTTCCAAAGTCTGAAAGGCCAAATAGTCAAATCCTATAAATCCAATAATCCAAAATCAGAGAAAGAGTGCAAAACGATGACTAGCGAGCGAAAACGAGTTTTTACCAAAGATCCTACCGAGGAGAAGAGAATAGTATAAACCCCGTAAGAGTTTACACTACCCTGTACCTTCTCATTGAATGGGAGGTGAGGCGAACCTTTTAACTGAGTGACCAGGTGATGACTAATATCGAACAGCTGCGAAGGGAGCCGGATGAGAAGGGAGCTGCCGGGGCCATCTAGTGGCGAGAGCACGTAACACCCCCACCCCACCCCCCCGCCCCAAATAGAAAATTTGTTCTAACATGAGGTCTCCCGCTATCTACACACACAAGAAAACCTATCTAACTACCCTGGATCACAGAAGGCGGGCAGATTAAACACGAAAGATCTCACAGCGCTGATCCCCAGCGCTGCGGAGTGTTCCCGAGGAGAAACAATGTTTTTTGAGCATGGTCTTCAAAGTTTGATGCCACCGCTCGAGGACACCCTGGCTTTCGGGATAATAACTAGAGGAAGTGACATGCTTTATGTTCAATGTTTTTGCAACCTGAGCAAAGACCCGAGAGGTGAAGTTGGTCCCCTGGTCGGATTGGATGACTGTGGGTAACCCGAAAACAGAGAAAAATCTTGCTAGGGCTTTTATCACATTTTTGGTGGTGATGGAGGATGAAGGAACAGCTTCCGGGAAACGAGTGGCAGAACACATAATGGTCAGCAAATATTTACGTCCTGACTTAGATGGAAGAAGGCCGGAGTCCAGAGGCGAAACAAAATGTCCCCCTCAATCACATATGAAGCCTGACCCACGGGGGATGTTGGAGCCACACCAACCAGCGCAAAATAGGATTTCAGAGATTCATCTGACTTTTGCGCTTCAGCTAAGGTCTTATAAGAGAGGGGTAAATCTGGCATTATTACAGTGGGACCTGGTCGGGTGACATCATCAGTTAATAGCGGAAACAGCACTGAGTCCCTAAGTGAGATTTCGGGATCTTTCTTGAGCTGAGCACGGGTTAGGACACAAGCCGGCAACAAATCTGATCCGGCACAGCTCTCAGGAGAAGAGATGAGCTCAGAAGGGGGTAACACTAGTCCACCCGCAGCGTCGTTTCCCAAAATCAGGTCTACTCCCTGGGTCGGCAACTCATCTAAAATGGCTACCCTTAGGTCACCAGTGATCAAAGGACAAGTGAGGTGAATATGATGAACCTCCGCCGGAACTGAACCCATTTCAATACCCCGCAATAACACAGACTAGCCAGCTTGGCTGGTGACAGAGAACGGTAACACACTACGTTTTATCAGGGTTTGAGAAGCTCCGGTATCTCTTAAAATTACCACCTCATGGTTAGCCTTGGTGCCTAACAGAGACACCATCCCAGCTGACAAGAACGGGTTAAAGCTTGAGTGAGGGGTTTCACATTTATCCAACCTGTTTGAGAAAACAGCACAAGCAGCCACGGGCTTCGTGGGGGGGGGGGGGGGGTCCACTCCTCCGGCTTTTCTGCTGGAGACGAAAGCTATCACGAATGAAATGACCTTTCTCGTGACAATAGAAACACTCAGGTGGGACGAGTTTTTATCAAAGATACTACCGAGGAGAAGAGAATAGTATAAACCCAGGAAGCCTTTACACTACCCTGTACCTTCTCACTGAATGGGAGGTGAGGCGAGTCTTTTAACTGAGTGACCAGGTGATGACTAATATCGAACAGCTACGAAGGGAGCCGGATGAGGAGGGAGCTGCCGGGCCATCAAGTGGCGAGAGCACGTAACACTAACCATCAAAATTAAGTGTCGGGGGCGGCCATCTAACCTATGAGAACCCACCCAATTGGCCAAATGGGTGAAGAGCTCTATTTGATTTGTTAAAA